TACGTTTAACATTACCATATTACTAACTCTTAGTACACATGATTGGATTATTCGCGACCTATGCATTTAATTGCTCTACATAGAAAAAGAGTTTGATTGCATTAATTCTGGTTGAAAATGGACAAATCAGAATTTTCTGATTGAATTCATTTATAATTTCAGAATTTATATAATTAGTTTTTCTCAATATATAGAAAATAATCAAATAATTAGTTATAATATTTATACATAACTTTTTTTAATACAAGCTTACAGATATTTTCTTACAGATTACTTTAAAGATGTTAAAAATCATAATTTTTATAAAAGTGATGAAAATTAATCCATGACGATTCATTGCAGTAAACAACCAGAAAATGATAAGTTAAGTCGATTACATTATCAATAACATTTTTCAAACAGTCGTTGGGAATAACGGTTCTGTTGTCTTAGGTACGTGAAAAATACCGGTTTTCAATGACGGTGACATAAATATCGATCTTAAAAAGATATAAACGTTCATCCGCGATTCGGGGCCGGATGTCTTCGTTGAGCGCATCATTTCTCCCGCAGACGAACCGTTTTCTCCGCGTCTCTTCCACGCGCATTCGCCACAAAAATGAATTCACGAAATCTGCTCCCTGACATATAAAAGAATACCCCTCTGCCTCTCCCGATTCGCCCGTCTACACAGCCACCAAGCTCTTCATCTTCTCCTCGTCGCGCGTAGCAGGGAAACGCGAATCCCGGACGGCGTTTCTCATAAAGTCGCGAGTTGGCGCGTAATCGCGGGTATATTAAAGCGCGAGAAGATCAGTCTGGGGAAGATTCCGCGAAATAAGGAGAATTCCGGCGGCGAACACTTGCACACCATATAAGCACGATATGACGGGCATCAAACAAGAATCCGCAAGCGTCTCGAGAATGATACGTGTTCCCCGCGAGACCGCGATTGCAGAAATTCTTTCGTGGCGTTGAAGACGAATTGTACGAAAAGTGTTAATATATTGTACGATAAGTGTTAATAAAGTGTTAATCCGTCGCGGAGAAGAGAATTAGACCGATCATAACTGATTTTTAATTAACATTCCGCAAAAATTCTTGCCCTTTTTATTTGTTGAGAAATTCTGTGAAAAATTTCCACACATATTATTATCGATTTAAGCCAGCAATTAGAATATTTAAAGGTACCTATTTATTTTTTAATTGTAAATTTTGATAGATAAATTTAATTTTCCATTACAGCAATTTGGACTCGAATCAAAACTTTTGACGATTGCACAATCTGTACGATTGATACTGTAAGAGTCTAAATTGTAAGTAAAAAAAACTTTGAATCTTCTTCTATCAATCGCCGTAAAGCGAATTAAGGTTTACTCACAGCATTCTGTACTTCCAAACAGAATGCTTTAGAACTTAAATCTACTTCTCATAGCTATAGTTGAAGAATAAGGCCCGATTGTACCAATGTTACTTTAACTTTAAGCGAGGCTTAAAATTCTCTCTTTTTCTATGTCTCTCTTTTTCCCCGTCTTTAAAAAAAGAAAAAGATTTTTAAGCTTTAAAATGAGTAACATTGGTGCAATCGGGCCTAAATGTAAAAAATAAGTAAAATATAATCTGATTTCTATAAATTTAAATTTATAAAAGATAAGTATAATACAATCCAATTTCTATGATGGTTAGAACTCGTTAATGCTTTGACTAGAATTTTTTCCGATTTTTATGGAATAAAAGAGGAGCAATAAAAAATTTGCTTTGTTTCTGCAAGCAAATTATGCCTCTATTCCTGACGGAAGAGTTAAAATTCATATTGCTGGCGGACGGTTAGTAAAAGATCTATGCTTGCTCGTTATTTTCGTTTGTCCTAATATTATGCAATAGTATAATATAACGTCTATAAGACTTCAGCACTTACGTGAATGTACACGATATAGACTCGGCTGATCGTTCCGTGCAAGGCACAGAAATAGCGGTCGATGGATGAGAAGATTGTAGGTTATTTCCCTGGCATAATATTAGCAACCATGTCATGCACTTATTTCTTTGCCCGACAAACATTCAGACATTTAAATAATGACGCAAGCTGACGCGTCAAAGTGATATCGCTTTGACGTACTGTTCGCGGAAGTGATTAACTATAATTTATATCACTTAGTACCGAGTTCAAGAATATCTCTTATCAAATCTTTAATGAAAAGAAGGAAACGTGGACAATCGATGTCCTCGATTTGCTGTCGTAATTTCAACCTTTTTCATCGGAGCTAACATGAATGGGAGAGATACGCGCGGTTGATTTCTTCGAGAATTTAGTGTCAAATTCGTTTGTCTCCTTTCGTACGTTTCCGCGAATAACGGAAATGTACGTTCGGTCAACCGATGAAGAATGACACTGAAACCATGAAAGTTACCGACTTTTGCCGAAGTTCTCAAGATAAAACCAGTCCGAGTCGTTCGTTCGCGCGAGCTAGCAAAGAAACGTGAATCGAAAAACGATGAAAACGAGATGAACGACACGGCGGGCATAAGTCGACGAGAGAATTACATTTTTTTTCTTTTTACGCCTCTCTTGTGTCGTGCACTCAATCTCCTAGTTCGCAAAAGTAGTAAACGCTTAACGCCGATGCTTCCCCGCCATCCTTCGTAGTAATTATTCGCCGCGCATCAAACTGAAAGAATTGTAACGCGGATAATAAAATCCCCTGGAACGAAGAATAAGATATAAGATAGGCAAGCGGGAGAAATGGCACGTCGCTTTTTATTGTCGACGTTCCCCGGTACGGCATAAAAAATCTTTCTAAGGTGATGATAAAAGAAATACGTGGTTTTCAAAAACGGTTCAATAAAAAAAATAACCAGTGATAAATTTCATGTCAAATTTCGCTTAGAAATATATTTAAAAGGCAATTATTTTACGTAATGCTTTTCATTGCAGCGTCATATAATTTGGGAATTGATTCTTGTTACATGGTATGATAATAATATATTAACATAATAGTATAACGCATAATCATCGCGTTGATTTCATACAATTATTTATGACGTAAATTTATACAAGAGTAATAAAATGTGAATTAAGATGACACTATTTACGATCTATCTAAGCAGTAAGGCTTTGCGCTCAATCAGACGCCGTTTAATGCGAGGAAAGTAATTCTTTCTTTTCTTGCTTCCCTTCTGCTCCGCTCATCTTAATATCGTGATATCTAAGTAAAGGAATTCTTCGAGCAGCTGTCGCGCCCGTACCGCGACATTATTCTTGGAACCTTCCTAAGTGAGGATATTAATCGCTGAGAAGTTACGCTTGACCGAGTTTCTTCGGGATAAATGAAGAGAAGACAGTATGTCTGCTGAATGTAATCACATTTTATTGAGCGCGCCGTCAATTGCATTATTTTTACTAATCATGTATTTCTTATTCGAATACCTAGTTATTATTCAAAGCACATATGGTAAAGAATAATAACGAAGATGATGAATATTTAGATAGTCACAAAAATTCATCATTATTTAACTTTTAAGTAATTAAGTGATTTAAAGATACGCAAGTAATTTTTGTTTTATTTTCTTTATTTTTTGTTCAAATTTAGGTTCTTAAAGGCAACATTAATATATTATTAATATATTAATATATTATTATAATAATATATTAATATATTAATAATATATTAATGTTGCCTTTAAGAACCTAAATTTGAACAAAAAATAAAGAAAATAAAACAAAAATTACTTGCGTATCTTTAAATCACTTAATTACTTAAAAGTTAAATAATGATGAATTTTTGTGACTATCTAAA